CATCTCTAAGCCTGATGAAGGGGACCCTGCGCAGCCCCAAAAGTGCTTGCAATTGAGAGACGGCATATGTCAATAAATGGACGTTTATTTGCTCTAATGACCGGTCTGGTGTGTTGGTGACCTATTTCTACTATCCAATGGTTAAAGTAGTAAAAAACTTTGGTGCACAAATCAAATGCAGGCTTTGATTCTCTGGAGAAATCGTACCTGGTGGCTGTTGAGCAATACAGCTATTATTTCTGGAAAATGAGACTCCTTACATCCACATTCCATAATGGACTATTATACCAGCTCACTTGATGGTATATCACAATAAAGAACAACAAAGTAAACGTGTTTTAAAAAAATATTTTACTTCCACATTACAGATTAATCTACAGTTAAACTTGCTTTGTATAGATGTAGTCACAATTTAATTGGTTTATATTGCTTGCAAACGTATTCTCTGCAACATCTGAAAACGCAAATCCATTTACTTATATAAATAACAATGTAAAAATATGCAAACAACACATAAAATAAAAAAATAGCTCTTAACGTCTTTGTTTTCAAATAAAATAGGATGAACAATAATCAAAAACAAGAGAAAAGTGTCCGTGGGTGTAAACAATACATACGGCAAGGGTAACCAACTTTAGAAATAAAACAAAATGGCGGCCAGGTTCTTCTGATATACGTATCACACTGTTGACTTCCACATTGCAAGCATTAATAGTTTTTATGATGCTGGCTCTATGATTCTACATCGTGTGCTGTTTTTTTAGCCATTCAAAAAGAGTGGGGACTTGGTTACAGCAGCAAAGAGGACAAATAAACAGCTCCATCGTGGGTTATGTTATACTACATGCAGTTATCAACGGCTTATAAAATAAATAGCAGCTTAAGTAAGCATTCAAAAATATCAACAGCCCTGTTGTATGTACAGTAGGCAAACACATTACAGGGTAGGTCAATATGCAAGAACAATTAGTTTTATAGACCACAGTCTATAGTACAACACGGAAACTTGTTTTACTACAACTAGCTAAGAAGAGTAACTGATCTAATGGCTAATGTGATATAATCAAGTCTACACACTAGATCACCACAGAGTAAGGTTACCATATTATAAAAGGTACAGTATGCATTCTGAAATCCTGTGTATCGGAAGCACTTAAGGAGAAAAAAATGATTGTATGGCTCCCAGACCCTGCTGACATGCATTGGTTCAAGTATACAGCACCTAGGTAGCTTGCAAAGGTGACGGCTTATCTGAAATGTGTAAATCAATTATTCCTACGCAACTACTCTCCACAGAGAACTAAATCCTATGCTAAAAACACTAGACTACACAATTGTATTCATATATTAAGTATTTGCGAGCTGATTTTTCAAAAATGTGCTGCTGCACCCATGAAAACACTCGCCTTACTGAAATGTTAAAATCCATCCTGTGACTTAAAGGAAACCATGAAAGCCAAGCCCGCAGGTAAATTACATGACTATATGCCAGATAACCTAGAGCACAGCTTCCACATTTAGGAATATACATAAGGAAAATAAACCTAGTTTATTTATGTCCGTTACACTTTACAATTAAAACTGAATTCCAGGTACAAATGTATCAAATACTGTACTTTTCCTTTCCTGGCCTTTTTTCGTGTCTGCATACTCACAAGTTAGCTCTTCCTCCACTGACCCCTAGCTAGTCCATTAAAAAAGCCCCACAACAGGAAAATCTCAGTAAGTATTTAACCACTTAAAGGCCATAGTGTTTCACCCCCTTCCTGGCCAGGCCATTTTTCAGTATTCAGCGCTGCGGTACTTTGACTGATGTTTATTCTGTCATGCAACACTTTACTGAAACGATTTTCATACCATTTTTTGGGGACAGATAGAGCTTTCTTTTGGTGGCTTTTATTCACCAATTGGGTTTTTATTTTTTACTATATAACAAAAAAAGTACCATAAATTTTGAAAAAAACATGTTTCCCTATAAAATTTTATTAAACATTTATTTTTACCCCAATTTTTTGGTACAATATAAAAGACGGGGTCACGTCGGTTAAATAGACACTAAACATGTCAACCTTTAAAATTGCGCACGCCCGCGAAATCGCAGAAAACGACCGCAGCCAAAATTGGCCATAGGCGACGCTTTAAACGCTTTTACCGAATTTATCTTATTTCTGTTTTCTTCACGTCTTCCTACTCACGGGACATAGCTAGCTCTAATAAGGGAGGGGCCAAATAAAAGACCTCTCATACGCTGCTGCTGATAAATTTGATTTGGAAGACAAAGCTGAGAAGTTCCCCAAAGCACCATAGGCAGATGAGGATACAGCCGCATTGACCAAGATGTCCAACTGACAGCCGTACAGAGTTCCTCTGTTGAGACTTTTGCGTATGCTGGTCAAGATGTCAACATACTTCTAGTTGAATGAGCCCTGATGTTGGATTATGCCTACTGACCTGATAAATTTGACAAGTTTCCTTTACGGAAAAGGCCTCCAATTCTGACACACTTCTGGCTGAAGCTATGGTATTTAGGAAAACCACTTTAAGCGATGAGTGCCACATCAAACGCAAATCCATTGGATGAAAAGGTGGTTTACTCGAGACCTGCAGAATAATCGCAACATCCCACTTAGGGACAAAGGATTTCCTAGGTGGATTACTCTTAAATGCCGCTTATAGAAATCTGGTCAGGGCCACTACGGTTGACACCTGAAACTTTAGTAAATAACTCAAGTCCTTGTTCAGAGCTTTGCAAAAACATGACAACATTAACAGGATGGGGGGCTGAACCTTCTTGCTCTTCAAATAATACCATTAGAAACTACCTCCATCTTAGCAAACTGTTGCACATATTGGTGAAAAATGTAAACTCTTTTCTGGGAACTTAAGCAGGTGGGTGGTGATCCAAAAACTTGTATTTGATATCTTAACCTCATCACTTTCAAGATCCAGTTGTCAGATGTTCAGTCTATCCAAACCTTGTGGAAATCACATAGTCTGTGTCCTACTGGCTAAGTCTGCATGGGCAAACTTTATGTAACTTGTTGGCTGTTAGCAAGAAGGATGACCGAGGTCCTCTCCACTGAGGTCTGAGGAACTCTTGACCTAGCTTCTTGGATCTTCTTATCCCCACTGTATTTCACTGCCTTTACAGCTTGCCACAATGCATTGTAACTCCACTTCTCTCTTTTGGGAAAAATCGCAAAAGCACAGCGGGCAAAACTTTTTTGTGGGCAATGCCAAAGCACTACACGCCCAACAAACCCCATGACAAGGACAATGAGGTGAAGGCTCATGCGAACAGTAATGACATCTGCAGTAAAATCCTGCAGACCTTGAACATCTTCTGGACAAGGAAGAATCAAAATGATCATAATGCTAAGCATCAGAATAATGATGTGGACAGTTTGATGAATGGTCTGAGGGCTTTTCCCCTAAAAGATGTAAACACAGACCCTCTATCAGATAAAGCCCCCTTTAAAGTATAGTAATATAGTATAGTAAAAATGTACTCCCAAAGGATACCACAGCATCAGGGATGCTACTGGCAACAGAGAATGTACCTATGAGGGCTAGTTCACACCAGCCCGATTGGTGGCGGAATGCACTGGATCGCATTCCAGCTGGATCACTTTGTTTTGGGCCAGGGGGTGCATGGCAGTGCATTGATGCCAATGGCACCGCAGCTCCGGCCTCAGTGCGATCACACACACTGAAACATGTGGCACCAGTGCCTGTGTTCCGGTTCGGTGAGGTCACAGAAAATGCTGCATGCGCTAATTTTTCTGACCGGACCGGAAAGCAGGCATTGATGTGCCGGGTGATCGCACTGCGACCGGAGGGTGTGAATGCGGTGCCATTGACTTCAATGCACCACCACGCCCCCTCCTGCCCCAAAACAAAGTGAGCCGGGCCGGAATGCGATCCAGAGCGTTCCGGCACCAATCGGGCTGGAACGTACTGTGAATTAATCCTGAAAATTAGACCCTTCCAGCCCAGCAGAGGCTGAACTTGGGAAGGTATATGGAAGATGTAAGAAGGGCATTCCAAAGTAGATGGTCTGGAGCAAGGAAGATAGAAGAACACAGTGGTGTTTGGTTTGTGCTATTTTTGATGGGGTCAGGGGAGGAGGAAATCACATGTGAGTATGCTGACATGAAGAGGCCAGGAAAAAATGCCAACATGAAACAGTCTAAATGATACTAATGCTGAATATTGACTATTTAAAAATGTAATTTGAAATTCCTGATTTTAATTGTTAAAACTTACCTATGATGCCTCTGTGTACAGACAGGAGCTGTTTGTCACCATCTTCTGACCATACAAGCTGCTCCCAATATTAATTATTATCGCTCTTATGCCATTTTAAGGAAATGCAAGGAGTTGAAGGACATTTAAAAGTTGGGGTTTTTTATTTGTTTGTATTTTAGACCATTCTAAAAAAAAAGGTACTGTGATTTTTCTACTTGTAAGCTGCACAGGCAAATAACAATGTCCATTACATGGTGCAAGCAACATACTACTGCAGGCTAAATGTTTTTCATAAACCTGCAGTTAAACTTTATCACCTAGTTTGCAACATATACTATAAAGCAGAACTAAGATACTACCCTGAAAAAGTGTCTATTGATAGAATTAAATATGTTCATTTTGTTCTCTGTACACTCCTATCAAAACTAACGCTAGAAGTATGCTTTAAATTCCAACACCCTCGGGGGAACATCACGTCAGCAGTGCATTGCTGGGAAATCTAAGGGAAAGGCATAAGATTTCAGGGAAAGGAATTTTCCTCCCCTGAGATGATGTTCATGGTCTCATGTCCTAGTCACCTGTGCCAAAGTTCCAGGAAGTAATGGGAGATATATTAATTTGCCCTTGGTAAAAATGGCAACTGTGAGACTGGGGAGGACAAGAACAACAAGGTATGTAAAGCATAAAAAGCCGGCAATTATCTAGAAGTATCTGTTTGTAGATTGCCTTTACTCAACATTTCTAAAGGTGTATTTGTTGTCATTTCAATGATAATGGTAAAGTTCCTCTTTAACCTATAAAAGAATTTATGCAATGGAACTTGTGTCATACCAGAGACGAAGTGTTAGCATTTTGTGTGTAGCCTCATGCATGCATCTTAGGTCTCGTTCACACCTAGGCGTATTGCATATGCGCGTCTGTCGTTTTTTTACCGCGATTTGCGGTAAAAAAGTCGCGCGACCGTCGCGCGTTTCCGAAGGCTACTTGGCTGTATCCCAATGGAAACGCGCAACAAAACGCCCCAAAGTAGTACATGTACCTTTTCAGGCGTGGGCCGTTTTGTAGCGCGTTAGGGACGGGCGGAAATACGCCAAGGTGGGAACGAGACCATTGAATACAATGGGATTTATATTTTTGAGCGTTTTGTAGAGCGTTCGTCGAGCGTAGAACGCGCTACAAAACGTTCAGGTGTGAACGAGGGCTTACAAGTAGTCCCTATGAACAGAGAATGCACTTGCTGTAGATTAATAAGAAACAATAATGATACAGTTTTAAAGATAAAAATTGTATTGTATCATGAAATGAAGACCATTAAAATTCATATCATGCGTAGGGCATAGCATAAAATAATTCAAAAAAAGGATTTTGATTTCTGTATATTATGATTTTTTCCACTTACCTAACATTTTATCTCATGGATCAGCTAAATTTACCGCATGTACGTGATATATATGAATCCACAGATTATTTGTGGAGTTCATTCCTTCTTAAAACAACTCTCTTACGTAAAATAAAACTTTCCAATCTCTGCAAAGAAGACATTGAATACTCACCCCTCTGGCTGCCGGACCCGCTGGTCGCTGCAGTAAAAAAAAGCAAACCATTAGCTGAAGATCCAGCATGAATCGCACACATCTGGGAATCAGGGAGGGTCAGCCCCTCCCCCCCCTCCCACTGGGCACTCACTGGTTCCTAGGTCACTATAGGACCTTGTTGAAAAGTTGGGGCCAGCGGATTGAACCACTATGCACCATAGGTACAAAGAATCCAACTCTCCCAGTGTTGGATTTTGCAGAAGTGAGTGTTCAATGTCTTTCAGTGGTTAAAGAACTGTTTCATGTGTAAGAGTAACCATTCCACACTTATGCAGTAGTCCTGTATGTGAATAAGGGACTTTGATCAAATAAGGGACTTAGGTAAAACAATTCATGCGTCTTAGTGAACTGACATTTTTGTGCTTTACATACAATTTATGGTGTAAAAAGGTGCCTAATGGTATCATATGCACACAACCCTTGGTGATTATGGAGAAATTGATCTCTGGCAACAGCTGTCCCTCTTCAGCAAATGTTCAAACATGTTCCTAAAGGCATGACTGCCATTACCCACAATACAGATTCCAGCCATATAAACAGACTCTGTAACCGTTCCACTGCATTTCTACAAAGCTGCCACCAAAGAGTGACTTGTACACTAAAATAATATCACAGGGGTGTCCAAGTACACAGGTGGATAAGAAGAAATACTCCTCAGTTCATAATGCATGTGATTACTACACCAGCAAGGTTGTGATGTCCCGTCTTCAATGCACAGTGCACTCTCCCAAAATGTGAACCAAGGAGGGGGTCTATATTTCTTTTCCGCTTTTTGTTCCCAGATAACATTGCACAACTCCCTATAAATAAATACGGAATAGAATAACAAAAAGGTTAAAAACACATCTAAGCATTCAGAAACACGGCTTCGTCTGAATCGGGGTCCTTTCCACTATCCTCGCTGGGTAGGGAATCTCCACCACTTGGAGACCTACAGCTTAAGTCCTCCACCCCAGACTCCTGGTCACTGTTGGCAGACAGGTCTGGATCAGAGCTTTTCAAGTGATCCTGAGTAAGAATGAGGGCTGAGTCATCCTCACCTTGGGAAGGACTGCGGGAAGGGAACAACTTTAGATTGTTACTGTAATCTTGGGGAGTGTTGACAGGCGAGTTTTTGGTGATGCACATCTGGAACGTATTGCTTTTCGGCTGGTCATTGAAATTCTTGTTTACGTCATTGGTTTGCCGAGTTCCCAGCTTTGCTAATCTCTATAAGAAGAATTGTGACATCATCGTCAATTCAGACACAAAGCAAGGCAATGCTAAGCAGGAGCAATAAGACAGATTACGAGACAGATTTAGTATAAGGTTGTAGTTTGAATCCTAAATTCCTTTATCTGCTGCCTTAAATTCGCACTGTGACAATATAACAAGAAACTGTAGGCCAACCCAGAATAATCCCTCCTACTACCAGCATGCCTCCGTTTTTTTGATAGTGTTTTAGGAAGATGGACATCTTTTTCTCAGCTCTGCTGTGTAAATAAGTAACTTATTTTTGTTAGCTCCACTTTTATAAAAAACATTTTTTATCAAGACTACTTTCTACACTGCTGCTAGAACTGGTCCCTCCGTTTACAGCTATCTGGCACTGGCCTCAACCTGGCCTTTCAAAGAGCCATTTGGAACCCCCCTATAGTGACTTTGGTCACTTGCAGTCATCTGACCCATAACTGCTACAGTTCTCTGGGTTTCGTGAGTAGCCTTGCCTTGTATCCTTAGCTTTATGTTGCCTAACTGCTGCATTGTTGCAACATTTCTTATTCTAGACACAGAGGGGGAGAGAGACAGTCCCACTGTAGTGGGTGCCCCCAGCTCACAGTGCGGCCAACATCTGCAGCCTGAAATCATGCTGCCCTCTGCTCCTGGAATCCATCCCATCTTCGGAGCCTTCCTTAATTCTGTGGGGTGTGGCCCATTCCTCTTCACTCTCAGCTGAGGTTTTTACTATAGTCATAACTGCAGAGGTGTGGAATGTGAACAGGTGCAAGAGCAGTCCACCTGGGCCTCCTGCCCCTTCTTGGTATGAGGTTAATCATAGAGTAAAGAGCCACCAGGAAGAGGAAATTAATGTATGCACTTAGAAATCGATCACTCATGCAAGTCAGTGTTTCCTCTATTTCTAATACCAAGAAACATGGTATCCACAAAGGTTACATTGCAACTTATGCCTATTATTTAACAAAACACTATTAGTAGAATTGTATTTTAAATACTATAAAACACAAATATCATCCCTCCTCTACCATATTCAAATCATTACATCTTTTTATACTAAAATTTTTAAACCGTATTAAAATTACCTAATATCTACAAATATACAAAAATACAGAACATCAATATTTAAACTATCTAGCAGAGATACTTAACCAGATTGTTGTTTCATTGCCATATTAGAGAGTGCATAACAGACAATCAAAGAATTACATCCCATTCTTAAAGGAGAACTATGGGGTCAGTGTTTTTCCCCATAGTTCTCCTTAGGGTAACGGGAGGACACAAACTAGCGTCCTCCGGTCACCCTAAGCTCAGTATACCGCGAGCTCCAGCTCGCGGTATACTGAGACGCCGCAGCCAGAGCGGATACCGACATCGATGTCGAGATCCGCCCAGCTGCGTGAGTGACAGCTGGCTCTGCCTATCTAGAGGCAGAGCTAGCTGTACCCGCCCCCTCCCCCGTCTGTTCCGCCAGTCAGCGCTGGCGGATCGGAGCGGGGAGGGGGGAATCCATCCCCTCCCCTGTCACGGCAGATTTGTTTAGCTAGTTTAGCTAGATTTGTTTTCTTGTAATGGATATCATAGAGATGATCCCTTAATCTGTCTGCGTCCCTCAATGGATGAGAAATATTTTTGTACTCATTGTAAAATCCTTTTCTTCAAGTCACATTGAGGGACTCAGGTCCCACCCCATCTGTGTTTATGATCATGCTCTTGGTACTGCTTTGCTACAAAACTGAGACATGCTGATAGTAGGAGAGGTTATTCTGGGCTGGCCTTTGCCAGCGTCCAATCCTCCTGTAGTCAGCAGTAAAACATGGATTTTAGGGTGAGTACAAATATCCTATTATATCTGAAATAAATGAATTTTATAGGTTGTTTACCTATGTCAAACCCCACAAGTCACTGTGCTGAAGAATGAGACAGTAATACTCTGTAGTAAATAAATAAACATTGCAGTCAAAGAGAACATATACCTTTTCCATAAAGTCCAGCTCTTCCTCAAGTTGCTGAGTCTCTTCCTTCACTGCCTGAAGAAAATCAGTCACTGACTGCCTGGGGTGCATACCTTTCTCAAAACGATTGTAAAGACCTCTCCAAAACCTGGAAAATTCAGCAAATCGGTTAATCTTAACTCATTTGTCATTTTCACAGATCACATTTGTGAGATTAAAAGACTTCCATTAGTGGTAAAAGATTAGCATCGATTTTAAAGGCCCACTATAAGATTAATTAAACAATTCACAGGCTGCTTCCCCAAACCTCTGGGCAAATGCCCCACTCTTTTTTTCCCCCCAAAAAAAGATACTGTAAAAATGTCTCCAAATTAAGTCATACAGGCACCGCTTCTTCTTCCACATCCCTTTGTAAACAGTCCTGACCAGCACTTCTATCGCCTCATGTCTGGACATGAAGATCTGTCAGAGAACTACTGCTATGTTCTGACAATGCTTCATGGGAGCAGTCAAGGAACAGGACAGAGGCTAGGGTATGCAAAATGAGACTGGTCATTATGATGCTCTGGCTGTGATAATGCAAACACAGCTCCAGCATGTATACAGGGTGGAATATCAACATCAGCATGGATGCCATTTTAAACAGTGCCGCTAGTGTTGGTTAGAACCAGAAGTACAACCGTACAGCTCTGCTGTACATAAAGTGTGACATTGCATTGCTCCTATGGCTGAGATGGGAAACATTTGAAAAAAAAAAGGAAAACAGCACTGCCAAAGTATGCATGTAGTTACAGATCCCCCCAAAAACTTGACCTAAACCCAACCCTTAACCTTATTGTCAATCAATAAATCTCAACCCAAGCCTATAATTTAACCTTAACCTTAACAACCCTCTAAAGTTAATAATCACCTAGCCCCTAAATCTAATATTTAACCTGACGGTACCCCTTAGTCCTGTGCGCAAGAATTTCAGCACCACAAACCTGCCTTATTAATAAGCCCATATTAGAGGACATTGCATTGCTTCTGACAAATAACAAGACAGAAAAAACAGAAAGAGACTTGCTTGAAAGAGGATGGTGCTGTATTAGGCCGCAGCATGCCGAATGTCTGACTGTGGTTTGGTCTGTAAAGGGGATTCATGTAATCCAAATGCTGCTTCCACAGATATGACCAAAGAGAATAGGTCCTCTCTTGAACTCTGATCAATAAACAACACAAACATATTGTAGCATTACACATAGTGATTTTTGATTTATCTGCCTGTCATATGTATGCATCTAACACTAAGTAACTCTGTCACCATTTGCTTTTAAAAATGGCACACAATATACACCTACTATCATTTTTAGAAATGCTTCAAAGCATTTCTACAAAAGAAATATACCTAACTGTGTTGGCTAGTAGTACATCACATTCACCTGGACTTGTTCTGTCACACTGAAGACATTTCACCACTTAGTCAAGTGGTGTCCTCAGTTTAAATGAATGTTGGCAAAACATGCAAGAATTTAGAGTCACATCAGCAACTTTGTCACTCTGCTCGAACCACCTTGGAATGTGTCAAGGCTGATGTTGACTGTCCAAGAACATGACGGGGGTGTGGATGTTTGCTTTGTTCTAATTTACCTAATCCAATCGCCATGACTCCATGGAATCTGGGACAGCTATTAGCTGTTTAAATTACATGGCTGAAGGTTCATTTTACATAGTTACATAGTATTTGGGGTTGAATAAAGACATACATCCATCAAGTCCAACCCATATAGGTCCATTTAAATTGGTGAAGTATATTCCCAACACTCATTAGAACTGAGGAAGCCACTTGGGTGAATGTTGAAACATCTTCAACATAACAAAACAAGTCCAGTGTGACTTACTACAAAAAGCTATAATATGACCTAGATCAGTGGTGGCGAACCTTGGCACTCCAGCTGTTTTGGAACTACAAATGAGGCATTGCAAGGCTCCGACAGCCACAGACATAACTCCCAGAGGCAGATGCATGTTGGGATTTGTAGTTTTGGCACAGCTGGAGTGCCAAGGTTCACCACCACTGACCTAGATGAATGAGAACCTTATCATACATTATTATGGTGTTCCTATGTCCATCAGGCTAGTGAACTAACATTTTCAGAAGGTTCTCAGCAGTGGAAAGATGAGTGTATGGCCAGCGATACAATATTTATTTAAAAATGAACAGGTAAGGGACAGAAACACATTTTTTTTTAACTAATAGCTCTCACATGACCCTAGCCACATAGACATAGGACACCACATTGTTTTCTCACCTCTGTTCTTTCCTCTCTCTCTGGCAATTGCACAAGAAGTTTCCATACTGGGAGGAGTATATATGATGCTGAATATGGATGAGAAACCTCTCATTAAACTCAAATGCACATGGAAATTGTTCCATAAGCTGCCAGACACACTCCAGAAACTGGTCAATCACTGGTGATACTTCCTTTGGGTCTCCATCTAAATGCCCATATCTGATAAAAAAAGACAAAACATTATTTGTACTTTTATTTTACTGAGAAACAAATCAGCTGGCATGCATTATGAACTTTGCAATACGCTCTAATGCATTTCTTGTATTAAGTAAAGATTTTTTATCAGTATGTTATGGTCTCCTTGCACCTCCTTCCTGACAATTCACTTTAGTAACCCTCGGCATACCACCAACTTAAAGTGACACTAAACTCAGGAGTTAAAGCTGAAAATATTCATTCAAGTACCTTAACTAATAATACTGTACCTGTTTGTGTATTACTCAGTTGTAGGTCAACTACAAATCATCTCTGAATTGGTGCTGACACTGTCCTTCCTTCTGGAGGGTGGCTACTTTTGTTCCCCATGGTCCCTGTGTGTGTTAGTAGTAGTAAACACCGCTCCAAACTCACCCCTGTGATGGAATGTAATGTCATTTTTAGTTTACTAATTTGTACTGACATTGTAGTGAGCTTTAAGCGGTGGCTACTTAACAACACACACAAGGACCATGGGGAACAAAAGCAGCCACCCTCCAGAATGAAGGACAGTGTCAGCACCAATTCAGAGATGATTTGAGGATCTACAGCCGAGTGAAACACAAATAAGATACATTTTTGTTAATAGCTAAGGTACTGGAATGTTTTATTAAGGTTTTTACTGCTGAGTTTAGTGTTACTTTAAATACTGCTAAAAAAAAGATTGTCATTAATGCTTCACCTATCTGCACACTGTGCCCTTAAGAACTCTTAGACAGTGGAGTCTATTCACGAAGCTGCCGAAGGATCTGGCCGTAGCTTCGGCCGATCCTTCGGCTAGCTTCGGCTCCAGGACCCCTTCGGTTCAGTAGTACCGAAGGGCTGCTGTACGGGCTATTCACAATAGCCCGTACAGCTCCCGATCATGGCCGAGCGGCTCAGCCGAGCCGAACGCATATGCATCGGCTC